GAGACTCCATCTCAAAAAAAAAAAAAAAAAAAAAAAAAATAGATAGATAGATAGATAGCCAAATGAAGTGACAAAAATGGCTAGCTGGGATAAACGGGGAAAAGAGGGTGTCCCCAAAAAGAGTGAGAAAAAAACGTCACACACCTTGAAGGATATCTTTCCCGTTTCGTCATCGTCGAACAGGCGGAAGGCCTTCAAGATTTCTTCCTTCGGGTCTCGCTCACTCTGTGGTGGTGGAAGTTTGTGGGGTGATAGCAGTTTGTGGAGGGAAGTGAAGGACGTGTGCAGGGGGATACAGTGGGCTCAGCGATAGCCCAAACAGGCAGGAATACACACAATATAGCTCGGCATCGCTTCTGTGTAATGCCGCTTTTTTGCGAACCATCTTGATCGTCATGATGTCGAGGAAGTCATTGAAGTCGATGGTGCCAGAGCCGTCTTGGTCAACGTCGGAGATTATTTTACGAATCTGAAGAGGGGGCGGGGGAGGGGGGGAAGTGATGGGGAGCACTTTAAGGAGGCTTCTGCCCCTACGTAACCGACCCTACGTGACGAGTGCGCGTGTGTTGATTATGGAATATCGCTGCGTGCGTCTTATTTTATTTTCTTTTTTTTTGTGTCCTTTTTCACATTACGTCCTCCTTTTTGGGTTCGAAGCCCAGGGCCCGCATGGCAACCTTCAGCTCCTTCGCGTCGATTCTTCCTGTGGGGAGTGATGAAGCGCAGGGACGTGCAACATAAGCGTGCGGACCTATGTAACGGCTACCTATGAGGAAACAAAACATATGCTTGGTAGTTGAGTCGACAGAGAAACAAACACCCGCTCACACATACCCGTGCCATTGGTATCAAATAAATCAAATGCTTCTTTTATTTCGAGCTTTTGCTCCTCGTTCAGTTCGTTCCGTTTGCTTCTGGCGTTGCTGCTTCGAATCATGTTGGGGGGTTTCCTGTTCATTTTAGCCTGGCTTCGCGCATAGGAGAGGGGGAAAGGCGAACTGGGTGAATAATGGCCACTCCACGTACCGATACACGCTTAAGGCACACCATGCACAGCTACACATAATGCGCCCTCTGGCTTACGAGATGGGTATATTCTCCAAAGGGGGTAGACGGCGGGGCAAATCCTTTTCGTTCCTTCTTCGCAGCACCTCCTCCTTGAGGAGTGACAAAACAAGGGGGGGCAGAGTGACCAACTGGGAAGCAACCGAGTAGCGAACACTCCCCCGTTGTCCCCTCAAACGGAGCTTCGCCAAAAGTGTGCACACTCAGTGGTGTCAAATTTTTTTCCTTCACCAATGCGCGTGGCGTAAATGGGGAAAATACAAACGGATGCTCTTCCCTTATCGCGAAAGAATGCGAATGATCATAATATGAGAGAGAGAGAGTGGTCAGACGTCTTCATGTCAGATTGAAAAAAATTCCACGAAGGGAACTCAACAGAGCAGTTATTACGCAAAAGGGGAAATAAAAAAAAAAAAAAAAAAAAAAAAA